AATCTGACATTTACTGGTAGCTTCTAGGAAAGTGTACAGAAAGTGAATAATGATCACTATCATGTTCACATGCAGCAAATCCAAAGAATATTTGAGCAGGGGCAGTCTGAGTGATATGCTGAATGATTATCATAGGAAGTGGAAGCAAAAGGAGTCTTTGGCAAGTTTCAGATGTGTTACTTGTCCTCTTGCCTAACTGAGGTAATACAATTTATACAATAAATATTTTTTAAAAACTGCTTAATTCATGTAGCTAAGGGAAAGCCATTGTGCTTTTCTGTTCCTGTAGTCTTTGGTACAATCTGAAAACTGCTTGCAGCAAGATGAAACTAAATGATATCTACATAACATTGCCACCTATCCATCTTAAAACTATTACAAACCACAGTCTAGGGCTCTCCTTTGTTCTTTTTTGCTTAACTTCCAGTCCAATGAAGGGTTTTGATGCAGCCAAAAGCTAGTGATTTTTATTGGTCCAAATAAACTGTATTGTGCTTCTAGTTACATTCTCTAGTTACTTGTCCAAGTTATGTTCTAAAATTCATTGTACTTTCTACAAGATCTCACTGTATAGTTTCCTGTGATTTTGTGATATTCCAAAAATGCATAATATGCATAATAATCATGCATTGGGCTTGTTGGTTCATCTGTGTTTGCTTTGAGTAGCAAGACTGATTTGTGTTTACTGTGGAAAAAAACCCTTATTTTTATGTTACCACCTTATAGTTTTTATCAGCAAATGACTGCCAAAGAAAAGGAAAATAGAATATGGGGGCTTCTAGATGAGGCTTTTACTATGCCATCACATTGCCTCATTCACAGAATTTTATGGAGATCCAGATAGTGGTGCCTTCAGTTCATAGGTCTCCTGGGTTTTTCTAGTTTCTTATGTTTTTTTAAAGCCATACGTATCTATCTATCTATCTATCTATCTATCTATCTATCTACACACACACACAAAGAAAAGACTTGCATAACTATAGTTGTACAGTTGGTAATGCTAGGAGCCTTCTATCTGTAAGTATATTTCCTCTAGAAATTGAGGAAGATTAGGTTTTCTATATTCTTAAGCTTAAGTGCCTCTGTTTCATGAGTACCCTGCAAAATCAGGAAGGAAAGATCCCCATTTTGTATAGTTTGTTTTGGTGTGCCGCTTTCTTGCCAAACCACTAGGCTAAGGAATCACAGGAGAGAAGTAAGATGATCTCCTTCTAATAAATCTTCAGAGAAAATGATAATCTTCAAGTGGTAAAGCAGATATTCCAACTCATGATGTCTTAGAATATGCAGCTACAAAAGGAAGGAGAGGACTTCCTTAACTTTATACTAATTGCCAGGCCCTCAGTGCTATTTCCCAGTTATTACTTCCCTCACTTGATCAGAAAGATCATGAGAAGGAGACTGGCAAGATAAAGATAGCTACAAAGAAGGTTGAAAGGACCCTGCACCTCTCACACGCATGCATGTGCACACATATGCATGTGTGTGCGCGCACATACACACAGGAGTGCACCAGGCTCACATAAGCACCAGACCTGCTATGACAACCAGGCAGATGGAACTACCTAAACAAGAAGGTCAGCTCTCTCACTAAAGAAATCCTCAGGTACTGGGTTTGCTATTAGGTAACTCTGCCCATCTTACTGATATCAAGATGGAGTCCTGAGTATCTCATGGGCAAGTTCTTAAAAGCCTAGAATTCCTCCAATATTGCCTTTCTTTTGCAAGTACATAAAAATCAAGTATAGTTTAGACTCTTGCTCAGCAGATGGGATGATATCCCTACCTCTGATTGCCTTTAAATGCTTATAAACAGTCAAGCAAACTAAGAACGTAAGAAGAGTTCTGTTGGATCAGACCAAAGGACTATCTAGTACAGTGTTATGTTAGCACAGTGGCCAGCTAGTGGCCCACAGAAAACTCACAAAAAGGACATGAGTGCAACCACAGCTTCCTGCCAAGTTTCCCAGCAGCTAGTGTATGTGGGCATACTACCTCTGATACCAGGTACCATGACAAGCAGTTACTAATAGCCTTACCTTATCCTTCTTGAACTGGTAGCAATCACTACATCTAATGATAGGAAATTCCACCATTTAACTTAGCACTGAGTGAAAAATTACTTCTTTTTACTTGTCTTGAACCCCTCAGCTTTATGGGATGACCTCCAGTTCTAGCATGAGAGAGGTAGAAAGCTCACACAAACTATTTTCTCTGTACCATTCATAATGTTATCTACTTTGATCGTCTCACCATACTTTCCTTTTTTCTGAGCTAAACTGCTGTAAATGGTGTAAACTACGCCTTTATAGGGAGTAGTTTTAGCCCCCTTTCTGCAACTTTTTTAACCCTAGCATATTCTTTTGAAAGTGTAGTGAGCAGAATTTCATTTTATTGTATTTTCCCAGATTTCTGATCAAAAGCATGTGTGTGAAATTATTTCAAAGCCATATGAGCAATATTAATCATATTGTCTACAATCTATAATATGCTGATAATTTGGAGGACACAAATTGAAATATGCATGGTGCCTGCTGTTTATGAAGGGTTAAAAGAGTTTTCATGATATTTCCTTAAATTCCCAGGGCCCAAGCAAGCATGTCACATGTGTTGCCTCCCATGGCTCTACCCAATATATACAATCTCATGAAAAACTTTCATATTACTGAAATGCTACCATGGTCCACACCGGAGATATTCTACTTCTACCATGCTCTTTTCTATGTTTGTTTAATTTCTACCTTACAAAGCTTGCTGACTATTTCATTTTGGTTGGTCCAAATAGGAGTATTAAACTATTGATGTTTTACATGTTTTATTCTAATATACCAACATGACTGCAAACATTTCATAAATATATTTTATAAATAAACTGTATAATTTTAAGTATTTCTGCCTCTAATCTGTTCCATTGCAAAACTGTGAAGTATCTCAGTAAAGTCTCTGTCTTTGAAGGCATTAGATTAGTTTCATGCGATGCTTTTGAGCACTTTGTTTTATTATCAGTGGCCACAAACTCAGTCTCCATATTGTTTCTTCATCTAATTTTTGTTTAACTACTTCCCTGCTTAGTGTATGATTTGAACCAGACTGTAGAAAGGATTTCTCCATGAGGAACAAAACAGGTTTGGATGGTGTCATTTCACTGCTTTTTGTTCCCTTTGTTTACTGTATATACCAACATATAAGGCAATTGTGTATAAGATGAGATTGATATTTTGGGCTGTTTTTCTAGTGTTTGTCTTATGTCAGCTATATAAGACAACCTCCAATTTGTGCTCTGCTATTTTCAGTTTCAAGGGGTCATCTTATATGCCACAATATACAGTAGCTTCCTTACATTTCTGACTGCTTGATTTGTATTTATTGCCAGAGATGGCACTCCAATGAGTAGGGCTCGCTCGCTCGCTCGCTCTCTCTCTCTCTCTCTCCCTCTCTGCGCACATGCACGTGTGTACATATATAATGTGAGTTGGTAGATACATTAGATCAAGGGTGGGGAGCCTCATTTGGCCCAAGTGACAAATTCAGACTAATTCAGATATTTTTCTCCCTTGTCCATAATACTAGAACTGAAGGTATCTTCCCATGAACCTAGTTGGTGGGAGATTCAGGGCAGATAAAAGGAAGTATTTCTTCACACAGCACACAGTTAAACAATGGAATTCACTGCCACAGGAAGTATCGATGGCCACCAATTTGAATAACTTTAAAAAGATACTGGACAAATTCATCTAGGAGGGGCTATCACTAGACTTGTTGGCTATTTACTACCTCTACTATCAGAGGTGGCATGCCTACATGCACCAGTTGCTGCGGAGCTTGGGCAGGCGGAAGTTTTGTACCAATCCTGATGCTGCGGACAGCTTGGTTGTCACTGTGTGATGGAGTGTTGGACTGGATGACTCACTGGTCTGATTCAGCATGGCTTTTCTTACTTTTGGAGAAGCTCTTGGGGGCTGCAAACCACTGCACAATGTCTCTATCTTAAGATAGGGCCTGAAAACCCCACCCATAGCACTGGTTCCTACTATTCATGGAATCAGTGTTCTTGATTATTATGGTATTTTGTTCCTTCCTGCTTCCTATACCCAAGGAATGTTGGGACTGTGGGAATCATAGTTTCTGAAGTAGTAAGTTCATAGAGGAATATGGGTGTCCCTGTTTCACACTGACTTTGCTTTGCACGTGCAAAACTCTGTGTGTAGAAATGGGCTACTCCACATCAATGTGCATGATGTTGGTTGTTCTACTCTAAGACTGATCCTGACTGTCTTCAGTAAATGTCAAAAGATCATACAGAGATAGGGGATAACAAGTCTCTGTAAACATCTGGCTTTAGAAATTCACAACTTAGACAGGCATCACTATCTTAATTTAGCACTGGTAACAGTAGTATACAGTTACCCTACTTTCAAACATTTAGTCTGCAAACTTGATAAACACTTGGAAAAATTAAATTCTTAAGGTTTACTTCTCTTTCCTCCAAACTGGTTTACCATTCTTCTAGGGAAATAAAAATCCTCTTGAAAAATTATAGTTACTGTTCTGTACAAGCTCAAGAATTGTTCCACTGGTTTGCACCTGCAAAATGTAGCAAGGTTTCCTAGACTATAGTCAGTCATGATTATGTTTAATGCATCTAATGCTGTTTAATGCATCTAATGCTGTTTTAATGTGCCAATTCTGAAGTCTCCACAGCTCCATCTTCAGCACTCAGGACACTGTGACATCACAGCAATTAATTGAATGGCAGCTGACTCTCTCCCTTCTGTGACATCACAGCAATCAGCTACCTGCAATAGAATAAAATCCACAATGTATGGATTTTACAGTCATAAACTGTATTAGTATTGTAAAACCAGAATGCAATAGCAGGAAAGTTAAATGTATCATCTGTGGTTTTAACCAGTTTCCTTTTACATTCCTGAAACTTCTGCTTGCAACTGATCAGTTTTGCTGCTGCTGCTGTTTTAAGAATAGCATTCATTATATCTTACTTGAGTTCCTGTGAGCTTGTGGCCAGCATACTTCGAATACTTTTGTCAGCCAGTGGGCAGCCAGACAGACTGTAAAACAGGTCAGGACAGCCAAGTTAAGTCAACTTTCTTTTAAACTAAGACCTTCCAAACAAACACAATGTTGAAAAAATTAAAATTAAAAAATTGTAATGCAGAAAAGCGATGGGGCGGGCAAGTGCTGCAACATTAAGTTTTGTAATACAAGTTAACCCTCTGAATATATTTAGATATAAAACTTTATTTTTGATGTTATACTTTTTGCTGAATAAGCTCGTAACAAACAGGTATTAGTGATCCATGGGTTAACTATTTGAAAAGTTTAGAAATTTTAATAATTTGAGTAGTAGTTTTAAAATAAAAAGACGTTTATACAACACACAAATTAGCATGCTTTTAAGATAAACATTTATTACTCAAAGGGTTAACACATAGTTCAACAGTTTTACTTTGACAGCATTGTTGAGGTAAGCTGAAAACAATAAATTGAAAAGACAGAATCCACCATGAAAAAAATGAAGTCACACCTTCTATGTGAGGCGTAATTACCAGTCACATGACCACTCCCATCACACCCTGGTGTTGGACATCTGCCACCAAACAAAAACAAAAAAACAGCCAAAATAGTAAGTATGTTTTAAAAAAAACTTTTAAAAGTTTCATTGTTTCCAGTTTAGCTGCAATGTCTGCAAGGGGGATTTAAGCATCCTATCGAAAAAGCTGCAAAAATGAACAGAATTCAATGAAAAATGGCGTCTCAGTACGATATAGCATTATTAGGGACAAGCAGATACCATATTAACTTTATCACTTAAACTTAACTGACAGTCTGAAACATTTATATGCTGCAAATGCTGCATGCTCATACTGCAAGGCAGATATGTACTTGTTTATTCAGATAAGACAACAAAAGAGAGAAAAGTTAAAAATAGTAAAAAAAAATAATTTCACCTCACATTATGCTTACGTTATTAAATCCTTTTTATTCTCTTTGCATTGAGGATATTTGGGTTTAGGGCTTGGGATGGTAACTTCCCCAGGATACCTTCTTTCTTCTAATGCTTCTTGGAATGGATCTAAGTCTTCTGGCTATAAGTAAAGATAAGTGATGCATCAGACATAAATAGGAACCCATAATAGATACAGTCTCACCAATCCAGCTACTTCCTGTGGCTGTAGGGCCTCTTCCCCTTCAACAGCCATCCTGTTCACTTCCCTGGAGAGAAGAGGTCCACATATGCATTGGACGCCTCATGCAGTCAGCAAATCACTACCATGCAATATTTGCCTCTGTAGGCCTGACCCCTACAAACAGTCTACATGAATGGGCAATCTGCTTCATATTTAATCACAATGATACGTTTGTTGCGCCATATCCATTCCACCTGGTGGGGGTTCCATGTAGCTGCCACAACTCATGCTTATGTGTTCGCAGCAGGGATCAACAGCATTGCTTGGAAGTCTCTGTGGCCACATAGCAGTAGTGCGGAATCTTTAGATTCTGCAGTGCCCATCCATCATAGCCACATGGAAGACATTTTCAGCTATAACCAAAAGCTGACACTTGGACTTGCAAATGCAATTGTGTAATTTAGAATATGTTAAAGTGAGGTTGACTGCCAAATTAGAATTCCCTTTCATTTATATGATGGTTAGTTGGAAACTGGAACATTTCTGAGATCACAGGTGTGCTGTTTATACAAACATACTAATATGGAGCTGCATAGAGAAGCAGCAGAAAAAGATACATACTGAACTACTGTTCAGACCTAAAACTTGCAATTCATTTATTTCATAAAGTTCTTATCTGTAGCAGTAATTTCACAGCTAATTATACAAGAAAATGCAACACACTTTTGTGCAATAACACATATATAAAAGATTCTTCTTTCCCACATGCAGTCTCTTATCAATATAATACCAGCAAAATAAAAACCAAATCCAGTAATTAAATGCCCAAATGCAATATTTCATATGTCATAATTATATATGCACAAATAAGGTCTCAGTCCTAAGTGAATCCACCTACCAAGCACAACTCTGATGTGCTGTCAAGATACTGAGTTTGGAAATATTTATTTAATGCAATGACACAGACATTCCTGTAGATGGTGGTCTAAGCAAAAAGGTTGCACTTCTGCTTGTTTTGCATATACTCTCTCCCCTATGCATTTTCTCCTTTTTCAGTGATAAAATATACAGCACATATCCCATCATGTCTCCATTTATTTATTTCTTAAATCAGTGCTATCATTTATTAAATTGAGATTTATGCACCAGCTAAGGAAAAAGTGCATATAAGACCAGATAATCAAAATGTACCAGGGCCAAATTCCTTGACATTGTAGCCTGGGATTGTAAAATCATGTCTATTCTGCAGAAGCTTGACTATAAATTGTACTGAGAAAGAGCTAGAATCTGACAAAGATAAAGAGCAGCATCATATATTAAGCAGCACAGGTGATGATCAAGAGTATCATTTCCAAGCAACAACTGAAAGAGTGTCTCATTATACCTCTTTATTATCTGCAAGTGCAGAGTCAAAATGGAACCACTAACTTTATCATCTTTGTTTGCTACCACTTTCTGAGTTTGCCGAGTTATCACAGCAACAAAAACAGAGGGGATTAATCTGAGTCCCACTTATGCTTATAACTTTATCATGTTACATGTACTTGCCCATCTAGTGAGTGGCTAACAGCTTCCCTCAATGTACAGGCAAATAGCATTCTGTTTAGGTAGCATGGCTGCTGTTCTGCTGACAAAACAGTTCTTGTGTGTGCATTCCTTAAGACTTCACAAAATACATCCATGAATATTAATAGACAAGTCATTGAATAGTTACACTACTTGAAAAATCAAAGTTTTTTGCACTGATTCTGAGATGAACTTTAGTCAAATGAACACTGCCTTGTTCAAATGGAATTCAGAAAGGTATAAAAGTAAACACAGGAGAGTTAATAAAACAATTCAATTTGATGCCATCTTTAAAAAAATTGCAGAAGGGCATCTTTGCCTGCAAATCATCTACTGTTATTAAATTATCTATTGCCCCTCACCATTTTTAAAGAAATCAAACAGTTTAAAACAATACCAGAGATGAAAGAAACATACATTAATTTCTTTTGAATCATCTTCATCTATCCTATTAGGCTTCATTTTTGTGTAGTCCACCGGCAAGTCCCAGCAGTCACTCTCATTCAGCTGGTAACACCTGTTATTCATAACAGCCTGTTGTTGTGGTGACATTGGTTCCAGTGGCGTCAAAATGGTGCAGCAACCATCTCGCTGCCTTTGCTTGTTCAAGCTCAAGTCTAATGTTCCATTTTCATCAACTTCCATATCGGGATTCTGTTTAAAAACAACAACAATACACACAACACAACACACACACACACACCAAAGAGTATAATTTAACTCGCCATTGTCAATATTCCTTGCAATGTATATAAGTAAGTGGAAGCTTCCACTAACAATACCATCTCATGGACATAGCACAGAAAGCACACAGCAAGTAATCTGTGAAAAACATTTTCTTGTTGCTAATGTTACTGTCTTGCTCGACCCTCTGAGGTGTCTAGTTCATTGAATTAGCATCTATATGAATCTGATTGGACTTTTAAGCACCTGTTAAGAGCAACAATCAAAAAGTATCAGTCCAAATAACAATGGAAATATATCAGTTATATAATAATAAAGGAAAACACAGTCTTTCAAATGCTAACAGCTACAGAATCATAAAAAAGAAAGGAAGCTTTAAGTACTTAACACACAAAACATACCATCCTCACCCAGTAAAACCAACAGGCAGTTTCAGGAGATTGCCCCCATCCACCTCTTTGTACTATGCTTGCCACCTTCATATAAAGTGGAAATGCATTCAAATCACAGACATTCACTTATAACATGGCTTTACACTCTACAAAGTCCTCCTTTATAATCATCTCAGCTTGGGGAAAAGAAACTGGTACTGACATTCCCTGCAGCAATAGAGATGGGTGTAGGGAAAGTAAGGCATTTTATTTCTGCCTTTCTTCCTTTCCCTCTACCTCTTCTTTTTTCTCCTTTTGCAAGTGAAGCAAAAATCATTTTTTACTTCAAACCTTTGTTTTCCTAAAGCAGGTGATAACATATCAGGATGAAAAGAGATGGATAGAAAAGCCAAAATACACATGGCAATTCATATTTCAAGAGAGAGATCCTTCCCAAGAAATGTTATTGGATGAAAAGCAGTTTCCTCATATTTCTACTAAGCTGCATTCCTCCCAGAGTAATAAAAGCTTCCAGGAGACACTCCAAAGAGAAAATCTTTTCTCATGCTTATTACACAGATAAATCATACATCACAATTCTGCTTGGATAACTTTTCTAACAGACTAAGGGTGGATGCTGGCTGGGGAACGCTGGGAGTTGTAGAACTTTTTTCTGGCGAAGCATGCACAGAATTGTGCTCCAAACTTGATAGATCCTGAGGATGATTTGGTGTGGCAGCTACCTTCCCAGAAGTACTATTTTGATTTTAATAAAAAGGGAAAACACTTAGGGAAGGCATCTCATCTTTTATTTTTCACAAAAAATAATGCAATGTTTTTCAATAACATTACTTAGACCTTTCTTACCTAAACTTTGTTAATATTACTTACACGCCAGGAAAAATGTTTTTTACCCTTCTATAGGATAATCAATTGAATTGAAGAAAGAAACTGAAAACAAAAGCTTTTTTCATTTGTCTGAATTGACATTAATTGTTTCTAATAACTACTTCTAGAGTTACATTTATCTTTGTTAAAGAAAAGTGGAAAAAACCTTTCTTTGTAAAAAAAAACAGAATTTGTCTGCCAATCCCAAGTTTCATTCATAACAAAAATTTGGTTGACCCTCCAATTATCTGTTTGCACAGCCATCTAGTGGATTCATGCAGGAAGCACATTTCTTCTGGAAAAATGTATTTTAAAAAATACTGCCTCATCAACCATTCAATTTTTTAAAAAAGAAAACTCAACATTTATTTAAAATAAAACAATTTAAAAAGATTTTTATCCTCTTTTCAATCTGTATAACTTATTGTAGTACATAAGCCTAGTTCTATGATTTTTTCACACTCTCCTTTAGCAATTATCTCATTTCAGCTTTACAAAGTGGTTATTAATATATTAAGAGATCAGTATAATTTACACAGTGATATAAGCCAGGATAGCACTATTAGTGTAGTACAGAGCGAGTAAACTATGGGTTGCATCCAACAATGTTCTTCCACAAGATAGCTATAATGGTGTGTAAACTGCATGGTAAAGAGGTTGTAATATTGTGTACTTGCTAAATATTCTTGTAGTTAGTCCTGGATGGAGCTAGTTGTCATGGTCCATGTTGGTGCCAACAACATGGGAACATGTATTGGTTTGATTTGAAATCTCCCACCATCTACTGTATTTAGATGTTAGGGAAAAAGGTTGAAATCCAGGACCAGCATGGTGGTTTTCTCTGGAATGCTCCCTTCTGGATGCACAGGGACAGCTAGACAGGTGCAGCTGAGGATTCTTACTGTGTGAATGAGGTTATGGAAACATAAGCAGTGAGTCAGAAGGGGCCTCCCGGGACACTTAGTCTGACCCCTGGCTCCACTCATGACATGCCTATAATGCCTATTATAGCAAGGGTGGGGGGTGTTCATATTTATTTATTTATTTATTTATTTTTCCATTTATATTCTACCTTTTTCCTACAAAGGGCTCAAGGCATCATTCTCCTCCTCCATCTTATCCCCACAACAACAACCCTGTGAGGTAGGTTGGGCCGAGAGTCTGTGACTGGCCCAAAATCACCCAGTTGGCTCCATGGCTGAGCGGGGACTCGAACCCAGATCATCTGAGTATCTGTCCCAGGCTCTTAACCACTGCACCACACTGGCTCTCTTCCGAACATATTTGTCAGGAACTGGGAAACATTTCAGGACAAGCTAGGCCACTACATGAGGGATAGACTTCACTGAACCAGACTGCTGGTATGTAAAATAAAAAGAGTAGCAGAGCACATTTAAACTGAACCTAGTAAAGTCAACAAGACTTGGGAAGCATCAGGCTTGGGTTAAATCATTCCTAGAGGATAAAGATGGAAAATGCAAAATGTAAATGTTGTTTAACTGATTGGAAACAGTGCCCAGGTGCTGTCATTTAACATACGCTGAGGACAAAGTTTGCCAAAGAGTCTAACACAGTCACATTTAATTTCAAAAGATGAAATTTCTTAAAAATGAGGAAATTAGTGAAATGGTTGGAGATTACTCAAAAACCTCCTTCATGGATCACTGCCTTGTCATGGTGAAGGGGCTTGCGTAGCTCAATGAAGCTATAAGCTATGCCGTGCAGGGCCACCCAAGATGGACAGGTCATAGCAGAGAGCTCTGACAAAACGTGATCCACTGGAGAAGGAAATGGCAACCCACTCCAGTACCCTTGCCATGAAAACCCCATGGACAGTACCAAAAGGCAAAAAGATATGACACCGGAAGATGAGCTTCTCCGGTTGGAAGGTGTTCAATATGCTACTGGGGAAGAGAGGAGGGCTAGTACTAGTAGCACCAGAAAGAATGAAGCGACTGGGTCAAAGCCGAAAGGACACTCAGTTGCAGATGTATCTGGTGGTGAAAGGAGAGTCCGATGCTGTAAAGATCTATATTCCATAGAAACCTGAAAAGTAAGATCCATGAATCAAGGCAAGCTGGTGTGGTCAAACAAGACATGACAAGACTGAACATCGACATCTTAGGAATCAGTGAACTAAAATGGACAGGAATGGGTGAATTTAATTCAGATGACCATCAGGTATACTACTGCGGGCAAGAATCCCTCAGAAGAAATGGAGTAGCCCTCATAGTCAATAAAAGAGTAGGAAAAGCAGTACTGGGATATAATCTCTAAAACGACAGAATGATCTCAGTTCGAATCCAAGGCAAACCATTCAACATCACAATAGTCCAAGTCTATGCCCCAACCACTGATGCTGAAGAGGCTGAAGCTGACCGGTTCCATGAAGGCCTACAACACCTTCTAGAATTAACACCAAAAAATGATGTCCTTATCATCATGGGGGACTGGAATGCTAAAGCAGGAAGCCAAAAGATAACTGGAGTAACAGGCAAGTTTGGCCTTGGAGTACAAAATGAAGCGGGACACAGGCTGGTAGAATTTTGTCAAGAGAATATGATGGTCATAGCAAACACTCTTTTCCAACAACCCAAGAGACGACTCTACACATGGACATCACCAGACGGTCAACACAGAAATCAGATTGACTATGTGCTCTGCAGACAAAGATGGAGAAGCTCTATATAGTCAGTAAAAACTAGACCAGGAGCTGACTGTGACTCAGATCATGAGCTTCTTGTTGCAAAATTTAGGCTTAAATTGAAGAAAGTAAGGAAAAGCACTAGGCCACTCAGGTATGACCTAAATCATATTCCTGATGAATATACAGTAGAGGTGACAAATAGATTTAAGGAATTAGATCTGATATACAGAGTGTCTGAAGAACTATGGACAGGGGTTCGCAACATTGTACAAGAGGTATCAACTAAAACCATCCCAAAGAAAAAGAAATGCAAGAAAGCAAAATGGCTGTCTGAGGAAGCTTTACAAATAGCTGAGGAAAGAAGGGAAGCGAAAGGCAAGGGAGAAAGAGAATGATACACCCAACTGAATGCAGCATTCCAGAGAATAGCTAGAAGAGATAAGAATGCCTTCTTAAATGAACAGTGCAAAGTGATAGAAGAAAACAATAGAATAGGGAGGACCAGAGATCTCTTCAAGAAAATTGGAGATATGAAGGGAACGTTTCATGCAAAGATGGGCATGATAAAGGACCGAAATGGCAGGGATTTAACAGAGGCAGAAGAGATTAAGAAGAGGTGGCAAGATTACACAGAGGAACTATACAAGGAAGACCTTAATGTCCCTGATAACCAGGATGGAGTGGTCACTGACCTTGAGCCAGACATCCTGGAATGTGGTCAAATGGGCCTTAGGAAGTCTGAACAATAATAGCTAGTGGAGGTGACAGTATTCTAGCAGAGCTATTCAAAATCTTAAAAGACGATGCAGTAAAAGTGCTACACTCAATATGCCAGCAAATTTGGAAAACTCAACAGTGGCCGCAGGATTGGAAAAGATCAGTTTACATTCCAATCCTAAAGAAGGGCAATGCCAAAGAATGTTCAAACTACCACACCATTGCACTCATTTCACATGCTAACAAAGTTATGCTCAAAATCCTTCAAGCTAGGCTCCAGCAGTATGTGGACCGAGAACTACCAGAAGTACAGACAGGATTTCGAAGAGGGAGAGGAACTAGAGATC